GCTCTCTCGATATTGTCATTTTGTCACTTGCTGTTCCTGCTTGCGTCCTCGGGTTGCGCATAGCGTTGGTAACGTCGTGGGTCGGCGGAGTGTGGCCGGGTCCTTAATCAAAACAATAATAAGCCTGAAAAATCGGTTTTTCAGTGAACAAATATCAGATGATCTATAGGTAATGCCAATGAAGAAATAGTACATTCTCATTATCTGAATATATCGTAAGTATAAGGAGTAGAAGGAACATTTCATGTACCATTAATGAAAAAAGAGGAGACTATACTAAATCAACGGGATCAGTAGTTTAATCATCGAAAATAATGTTTTATCACCGAAAGAGATACCATACAATTTCAATCGTAAACATCATGCAATCGAGCAATGGTATTTTATATACGTTTAAATGATAATGATATTCATTTTTTGCTTCACTTATATATTCGTTTTTGTTTTTAATTTAACTATAATTTAGGAAATTCGTTAGTTTCTCACAAGTCTACTATGTAGAGTGTACCATTGAAGTACATCGTTGTATCTATCTCTTGATCATTCTTATTATGATATTAGAAGCTAACACTATCAATTGTCTTATCGCGGAGTAGTTTTTAATCAAAAAAAAAAAAGATTAAACAGTTAAGTAAATTCCTTGATTGTATTTTATTTACAGATGAAAATAAAAGAAACAAAATGATAATAAAAAACAAGTTTAAAAACATTTATTTACATAAGAATAGATTTATAATTTTATGTTCAATAAATAAAATTCTTTGAATTCATTTGTCATACATTTATTATCATGGTCAATATGATTACTAAATCAACTTGTTTTACCTATTATAGTAGTTTAGTGGTTTTTCTAATCGGTTGTTAATTCAATCTATAGTGATCGATTTATCTGTCTCAATATTCATTGTTGAAGAATTAGATACTTCTTGTTCTTGTTGTTTTTTTTCAATTTCGTGTTGTATCATTGTTTGCTTAATTTGAGTCGTTAATCCTGAACTTAGACTAAACACATAAGGTAATATTGTGTTTGGCGTATTATTAAAATCGATTATAACTTTAATGAACATGATATCATTAAGAACATATGGATTATTCGCTTGTTGAAATATTGTTAAAGGAGCAAATTTTGGTATACCACTGGCAATATTCATATCCGAACGTGGTCGTTGAAAACAATTTGATCTAACATCAGGTCGAAATGATTCAATAATATGATTTTGTTGATCAGTTTGATCATAAAGACAAAATATCACTTTGAAACAGAATGGAAATGTGAGAATAGCATCATATTCACCACGCATAAGAACAAAAAATAATGATATATGTGTATGCTGAGCAGTTCCATCACCATTCAAATAAAGTCGAAGACACATTTTATAACCTGTAGGTGATGAATAAAAAGGTAGAGAATAAATCGATGTTTGTGTTCTCGATTGAGCAGCAACTAAAATAAATAAATAAGAATTCATAACTCATCAACATGCGTTTTACTTTTTCGCTTCTTATGAAAATATCGATAAAGTTTCACTGAACGAGTAAAAATCTATGGGAATCTCTTATATTTCTTTTATCTTTTATTAAACAGAAAAATATAAATAAAAAATGTCAAACATTATTTCCATGTGTTCTTGGTAATTTGAACAATCAAATCGAATCTTTTATTGAATTTTTATAGATCTATAAGATGATTAATTTTTTTTTTCTTATTCAACTTTATTCGAGACAAAAATCTTAACCAAGGAAAAATTCAAGTGATAACTCAACATCTTTTATATTCTATGATAATAATATAGATATTTATTCAATAATTCATTATAATTTTTCAGTCATTTATTTTAGAAAAATATATAAATATAAAAAGTGAAACTCGACAAATTATAAATCGTATCAAGTTCATTCTTATTTTTAAATAAATCATTTTAAGCGATTTTCTTTTCTGCATTTTTAATATCTAGTTAAAATTAAATAATATTTTTGTTTTACATATCGATTGGAGATGACTACTATCATTAAACATGATGAATATTCGAAAGATTATTTCTATATAGAAGCTTCATACTAATCAATAACCAATTTACCAGAACTGGATAAATATAAGTACGTACTTTTACTTAAACTGTCGATACTCATATTTGAGAACACTTGTATTCGCCCGGATCGGGGATTTACTCTATTTTCAAATCGTACTTGATTTGAATTGCACAGTTCAGAGCAAAATAAATCAAAGACTCTTCATTAAAATAAAAAACAAAAACAATCTAATCCTAACCTATTTTTTCTTGTACATTGGTTATTTTCCATAGATAAGTTCCATCATAAGGGTCTAAATTCATATTATTAAGTTTTTGTTCCACTGATAATAAGTCTTGTTCACTAATCTGTTCATTAAATTTGATGCCATCTATAGAAGAGTTTTGTTCTTCAATGGATTTTTTCAATATGGAAGATTCTTGAATAAAAGACTGCAGTGTATTATGGATCCGATTACGCTCAATACTAAGACGTTCTAGTTCATCAGCTAAAGTTTTAGTGTTATCTAACAAAATATTAGTTGTCTTTGAGATTTTCTCTAATTCATTAACATCAAAATGTGTTCTTTGATTAGAATTAATCAGGGAATTATTGTTCATATTTGTTGATAAGATTGAATCCATTTGACGAACAAAATTGACTAAAACTCTTTGATGTTGATCACTTATATAATGTTCCGCAAGATGGAGACGTAAAACCTATATGATTAAAATTTTTTAAATATAAATAAAATAAAAACATTAAAATTAACCATTTCTTGACATCCGATTTGTTTTAATGGACAATCTACAGTGGTTTTTTCACAATCGTATTGTATATGTCGATCAAGATCGTTTACTGAATTAAATTTTTGACCACAAGAATCACACGTCGGATTTTGATGATTTTGATCAAGATGATTCTTCAAGATAAATTCAAATAATAGAAATAAAACAAAAGGAAAAAACAAAATTTTACTTGATAGATATTCAATATTCCAGTCCAACTACAAAGTGAACACACAATGGGTAATGTCTGCATATCATTTCTAAAACCTCGATCGATTAATAACTTAAAGAAAAAAATATTTTAATTTTAAAATAATATAACAATTTTACTTTTTCTCGTATTGTTTTTTCATCACATTCCGCGCATGTTATTAGGTTTCTTTAATATTAAAAAAAAACGAAAAATGAAATATAAAAAGAAAATTCCTTATAAAAATGAATACTTACCCTGATTGTTCATTTGCACATGATTGACACATTCGATGACCACAATCTATTAATTGTACAGGATCTCGAAATATTAACAAACAAGAATTACAGATATACGAAGGTTGAATACCATCGAGATTTCGTGAATTATAACCCACCATTATCTATAATCTATAAATGAAAGACAGATAGGAATAACAAAATTATTGATGCAGTAATAAAGATATTCAACACATAAATATCTAATGAGTTAAAATACTTTTCATGATTGAATTATGAAAAATAAAATATCTTCAATATGTTTTATAACGAAGACAAGATCATCGTTCAATGTGTTCAGAATGTCGAGTTCCTACCATTCTTTTTACAACACTCGAATAAATATATACAGTAAAATTCTAAAGGAAAGTTCCGACGATGACATAAAAAATATATAAACAAAAGAAAAATTTCTATGGCAGAGAACGAAAGAATAAATTTACTAAACATGACAAAAGTAAAGAATTTTTTTTTTGTAAAATAGCACAGAAATGAAAAAGAGCCTTGAGAGAACGTAAATAGTAAAATAGGTGAAATGAATATTAAAATACTATTATTTAATAGACAACGTACAAATGAAAAATATCAATTATTTAATTATACATTATATAATTAAAACTTACGCAAACATACAGTTTCATGTAATGTCTCACATATGTATTATAAATGATATTTGACGTCCAAGGAAATATGTCAATCGTTGAAATGGTTTTAATTAAGAAAATTTAAAAGAATTTAAACGTTCTCTTAACTGTTATTTCACAACATATGTGATTGTAAAACTAATGACTCAACTTTTCATTACGTAACTTAATTCTATGTAATATTCATAGACACTTTTTCTTCGTAATAATGACAAACTAGGGTGAATAATTTTATGAATATAATTCAGATCAATATATTTACTTTCAATACGTACATGTTTTTAGTATATAGTATGTGTATAGTGAAAAGAATTTTAACCAAGATGAAAATCGAATAATTGATATATATGAATAGAATTTATGATGTATCTCATGACCTATCACGAGTTTACATGAAAGAACGAAAAAGAAATTAAAAAAAAAAGATAGAGAAAATAACAAAAAAAATCTATTCGAGAGAAAGAACGCAGAATGAAGCAAGCAAATAGAAAATAAAAAGAGTAAAATGGACAAAACCAACTAAATTATTATTTCGTTCTGATTCTCGGTACACAATGACATAATTTGCACTTTCAAGTGCAAACTCAAGTTTTGATTCTTATTTTTAGTTTCATACTTTCAACCTTTGTTCAAAGTACAAGTAGATTATGTCAACATAATTATTTCATTTTTTTTAGTATATACAATGATTGTTCATTATAAAGTCGTATGAAACATATCAAAGTTCGACATTAGATAATAGAATATGATTTTTCTATCATGATTTATTTGAATTTTTACAAAAAATTCAACTCAAGGTCTTCTGTCAATAAAGTCTTAAATTTCAATTCAAAAATGATATCAGATATACGATTAGACTTTTCGTACTTCAAATCCGATAAAAAGATTGATAGTATGAGAAAAGTCATTGAAAGACTTCTCTAAAAAATCTGACATCGACAAGATATATGAAATATTGATGAAATTTTACATAGATGTTAGGTTAATGTAAGTACATTCTTAAAAAATTGCACGTCTTCATACCTTACTCTTCAGAAAATTTTCAGAGACAAAACTGCAGAGATCGAAATTATTTCATTTGAAAAATAACTCCTTTCAACTTCGGATGAGTACAAGAGTTTTTTTAATCTTTACTGATTCATTTTTCAGATCATGAAAACTTTAAACATCTGGAACTCGTAGGTATGGCCTTCTAGAAAACACAGGATTTATTTAGCATTGATGATTAATTAGAAAATTCTTTTCTTTCGTTTTGAAGAACTATGGATATATTCATCGAAAAAAAAAACTAAGCTTTCTAGAACTAAGTATACTGAGAAAAACGCAAAAGAAGCTTTTCTTCTATATAATCTTCCTATAATTACTTAAAATGGACATGAAACATTTCTTTTTAAAGACTGATCATGATGCTTGAGGGTGCTGATGTGGATGAAGAGAAGATTTGCACCGATATCATAAAATCATTGAAAATCTCAAGACTGTCTCTAACAGAAGTAAGATTTGATTGTTACTTAAAAATGTTGTTTTTTTAAAGTTTTATTGACTAATCTAGACATCATTATTTGTCTAGATAGTTTTAAAGATCATTTATGAAACTCTCAAATATCTTTGAGAATCAGAACTATCTTTGATAATTTGTACACTAAGCCACTCAGACAACATGTTCATATGTTTATTGCAAAATCACAAATCGAAAGGGGTATAAAGTGTATCTCATTAGATCGCAAGGATCATTGAATCCAAGAAAACACAGTTACATAATGGATAGTCAATTCACAAAAGTCACGTTATATTTACTCACCAAATAAAGAAGATATTATCATAGATTGTCATAGATACGAATGGGCTCTGCGAGATCCATTCGGAAAATATTTTCTGGCTCTAACAGATCCTGATGAGTTCTAATAGATTAGATCTGATAATTTCTAACCATATCAAGTCATTTTTTAATATCCTAATCACAATTATTTGAATAATAAACATTTATCTTTATTCTTTTCTTAGAGAAAACGTTTTGAGATCATAAATTGATATTTTAAATAGAAAAAAAAAACAGATTTCATTTTAACATTATTTGAACAACAAATGACTCCTCTTCGGCGCATTAGAGAATAATTAAATAAAACTCCAGTAGCAATTATCTAGTTTTGTAATTATACGAAAGCATTTTAGAAAATAAAAATGACTTATATGAAACACAAAGAGAACCTTTTCTTTTTCTATCCTCATTTTTAAAACAAGTTACTTCTAGAATGGTTTGCGTTGAACCGTTTTACTATGTTTCTATAATGATAATTAGATGTTTTCTTCACAGCAGATAATTAATAACAGACCGAAAAAAAAAACTACAAAAGATTAGGTTTTCAACTAAACAAAATTATTCTAACAAATGCAGTAACGAATAGAAATTTTAAAAAACTAAAAAACTTCATACTGAATTAAAAAAAATATTCATTTACTACTTAATTTTATAGTATTTACAAATTGGTTTACAAGAAAGAGTATTATAAGGGAGTAATAATTATTGGCTGAAACAGATACATGAGCTAAGCTGACATTCTAGAACATGGTGAGCAATGCGAATCAAAGTCAAACGTGCTGAGAGTGACGCCATCTGTATTTGACAGAAAAATCAGAAAAAAAACTGCAATAGAAATGTATTAAATCAGTTGATATATTTACCTATGCATTTTAGTTTTAGGAAAGATCGATTTCATGCAAAGGATGGCGCTACACTACAGCAACTTGTAGTAGTAGCACTCATATTGAATCGAAATTTTTTTTGATGAAACAAACAAATTTAGGATTGAATATTAACATCTAGAAACAAGACTGATCTTAATAAACAATGACAAAATTATGATTCAATATTGGTATTTTCTATTTTTAATCTTCATTGTGAGAAACATGTTATATTTTATGAAATATTGTTGTTTATTATTTATTGATATTTATTAACGATAAAACAAGAAGTGTGGATATTTGCCAATCTTATCTAAATTCATATAAAACCTTGCAGAATGTTCGAGGCGAAATAAATTTCGAATTCTTGAAAATGTGTTAGAAACCGTATCGTGTAATATTTGAGTACAATGAAATGTTTATGTTGGAAGATGAATAATCACAATTGGAAAAATCTGTGGATGTGTATATTTTATGGATACTTTTATACATATATATGCACGTTGGTTGAATGAATTCGCTATACAAATGTATCCCGTTTCTATTCCCTATCGAAATGGTTTGCAAAAACCAATGTGTATTGCCGCTGAAAGTGAAAAAAATATATTATTTCCAGGGAAGTTTCATCATTTTTTTCAGATCAATATTTTCTAGCCGACAAGTCAAGAACTTGTATCAACTTTAAACTTAAGTCTTCGTTATTATTGATATGAAATATGATGTTGAACGTGTTCTCTTTTAATGAAGCATAAGAATAAACATTAATTTTATGAAAATCTATAACGACTAACCAGTTTTGTTCGTATTCTATGTTTCAGGTTTCTAAAGTAAAACATACATTCAATTGACTTTTATGATAAAAACTTATTAAATATTCTTATAAGGTATGTATCAAATGTTTATTCTGAATATTTCAAAAGAGAAACATTTCAATTAATGACTCAAAAATAAATATAACTTTATCAATTTTCGACTTCATCTTTTTCTCGTATATCAAAAATGAATGAACGCCAGTTTCTAAAATAGCTCGTGTTAGAACAATAATTTGAACCGACAAGGTCAGAAGTCAGAAATTTAAAAGTAGTCAGTTTCTGTATTCGTCATGAAACATACAAACATTCTTTTGCATGCCTTACAAAGTTGAAAACAAAACCGAGAAAAGAGCGACATGTATTTGAATGATCGTGGCCAGCTTCTAACAAGCTATTCGTCATAATAAAGAGTTACTTTGTAAATATCAGTATAAGGTATTTTGTTTCTTCTCCTTTACATTTCATTATACGATTAGATAGTAGAGAAGAAAACGAAAAAAAAGAAGAAAGAAACAAAAACACTACCAGCTTTTTTTCCTCCATAACCACGTGCAACATTTTCCATGGACATTTTAAAATGCTGTAGAAAATTCCAAGTTAATATATATAAAGTTATTCGTTGTTGAATATCTATCAGTGGGATTGGGGATCACAATAGAAAAAGTTTTCAGTTTTGGTATGTATGCTTAACTTGATTCTGTTACTATCTGGCATCATGCTCAGTATCTCTAATAAAAGATTTAACATTGTGATAGATCGGTTTCTAATTTTATGTTTATCAAACTAAACTTGCTTGATTCGATCTCGTACATCACTAATAAACAGTTACATATCACATAATGGTCACGCTTAGGCTTAGAATTATCCATGAAAGAGAAGAGAAGAAAACTATCGATGATGAACAACAAGAATGACACGATTGGAATATATCCATTGAGGGGATAACAGAAAAGGAAATGCTAAGAGAAAGGTAATATATCACGAGAGACAAACGGATGAATCAAAAAGAATAACGCATCTACAATCGTGGTAACGTTACTCTTATGAATTTCATTCGGAATATGCAGATCAGAATTGTTCCTCTTTCTTTCGTTCACTAAGGTCTTATCAATTCGTAGTTCGTAGAATGTAAACAACTGACTGTTTCATGTGCAATAATGTTCAAAATTATTCATCTACCTGACGAACATAATAAAAAACAAAATATTTGAAAGGATTTAACCATTCGAGCCGTGACTTTCACCAAAATGCAGAACAATGTTTGTAGTCTATTCATAGAAAGTTTCAGTATAATCTACCAAAAACTAGGGTGTGGGTGTGGGTGTGGAATGTGGGTGTAGATTTACAAAATATCATCATCCGTGCCACACTCACACACCCGCACCAACATCCACACTCACACCCACACCCACATCCACCGACACCGACACACACACACACACCACACCCACACCCACACCTCACACCCACGCCCACACCCACACTCACACCCACCCACACCCACACCCTTGTTTTCTGTTTACATGGTTCGTTTTTCTTTTTTCTGCTTGATTTTGCTCCACAAAAAGAAAATACGTTTAGGACACTCTTTCTTGGTGACAAAGCTAAGTTTCCTAGAGAAGAAAGTGGATTCGATTTGTGAAAATGGTGAGTCCAGGGCCGCCCAAACTGAAAGAAGTGTAGAAATTGCAGTCTTGCTCTTCCGTTGAATGAAACTTTTCGATTTTTAAAGGCGAAATTCTAGAATATTACTGTTGTTTTGAAGAATTTTACGTCTTCTCCTCGTCAGTTCTCGAAATTATATCGGCTTCCTCCCAGTAAAAAGAATTTCAATTTTTTTTGAAAATTTATTTCGACTTTCTCCTTTTTCCTTCGCAAAGTTGACAAAAAACGCTGTAGTTTCTGTGAAAATTTGTGAACATTTTTCAAAAAGTTCCCCAATTGATCATACAGATCGTCGGTCCTTCCTCAACTTGAATGCTTATAGGCAACCCTGTTCTTGAGCGAGAAAAATGAAAGATTCTGAAGCTCATTCAGTAAAATTTGTTCAAATTGGGTTGTGTCATCACTCTTACTTCTCCTAATTTGCGCAGTCTTGGACATATTCTACTCTCTTTTTAGGAGAACAAAAATTGTGAGGATTAATCACTCTTTGATGGAAATTTTGACTACTGTTAATTAAATTTTTGAAATACTGTGGGGCACCGCCCGGGCACCGGTCATTTCCTGGTTACGCCACTATGTGGGGGAGGAGCGAATTATGAAATTGAAAAGCAGCATAGTGAACGGATATATTTTGCTGTGAATAACACGTTTATGGTTATATAATCCTCGAATGACATTTTTGAACTATCCTTTATTAGACATTCCTGCCAGTTCAGCTACATCGGAACGTGTTTTTAGTTTATCAGGTCGAATATTAGAAAAAAGAAGACAGTATTTGAAGCCAGATATTGTTGATGATATTTTGATGATTAGAAATTTTCGAGATATATAGTTTTGTTATTTTTTGCTTTACGGTTGTAACAAATTGAATGAAAGTGTACAATAAATTGATACAGAAATGTGGAATTTTCATCAATGTTGAAAAGAACAGGGCAGGGCAGGGTACGCGAAAAAATTCACAGGGCAGGGCAGGCTTAGGTTGTCAAAATCTCAGCAGGGCAGGTTATAGGTTGACAAAATAGCGTACCCTGCAGCCCTCTAGCTGAAATGGACAAGTGCTCATCTAAGAGAGGTTATCATCGTTGATGGGACGATAAAAAAGTGCCCACTGCCCAGGATAGGAAGGTGCCTATCTTGAAGGTTTTACTGTATACAAAAAATCAATTTGTCAGCTATATTAACTGTAAAGTTTGCTCCTGATCCCTTTTTTCTGCCTACTGTGCCACATTCCCTCCCCTCACACCCACTCTCCGTCACCGACGTGACACACATCTTAACAGCGCACTCGCCTTCCATTACAGATCGTGAAAGACACGTTTACATATTTCTAATTGACGATGTGAGCAACTTGATCATGCTTCACATTTTAATCCCACAATGATTGCACTAACAACTTTAGTAAATACATATACGTTTCCTGTAATTGACAAGTGAATTCTTGTATTTCTCGTTTTGTTTTCTTTCGATTTATTTTTCAGTTATCGAAGTTATTATTTCAAATAAATGTTTTCTCTATGTTTTCTACTAGCATCATCTCTTTTCTACATTAGTTTACAATATTGACCAATTAATTCTATTGATATATAATTATTCTTATGACAATCAAAATTCTTCTTCAATATTTATCGTTGACAACCAGAACATTGTTCAGATTGATAATCACATAAGATATCTCATGTTTTATTTAATGCTTCATATAATATAATCTATGAAGAAAAATGAATGTATAATATTCATAATATGATCATTTTGTTGATACCTCTAGACAACCTTTAAATTAATAAAAGCAGCTATATCATTGATTTTCTGTGAAGAAAAATAATAGAAATTTATCATGAATTATTTCAGACGATCTAAAACGCCTGATGTTTTCATTTGTTTCTTATATATGTCAATAATGTATTTATTATTATGATCATATTTAACAAAAATTGATCATTCATATATTAATATAATCGCAGGTACATGCTAATAATTATTGATCAGTGTTTTCAATAATGAATACTTTTGTTTTTTAATAATTTATTATTGTTCATCATCATTTTTTATTCATCTTATTTGGTTTTTTTATTATCTTATTATCGAAATGGATTATAAAAAATTTCATTTTGTTCAAATGACTTAAATGAATAATGCAAATACGTTAAATCATCTTGACATATTGAACATTGTCATATGGAATGAGATGGTTATAGTAGCTTGACAACTGTTATAGAAAGAATTTACAAAGAATTAGAGAAAAAAAAAACATAAATTTGTAAATGATTGACAGACATCCTATAGCGTCCTCTAGAAACAAATCCTCGGTAATTGGTCATCTTTATTAAACGAATAACAAACAGAACCGATATTATCTGTTGTTAATTAATCCTTTTTTTTCGATTATCAATCAAAAGTTTATGTTGGCAGTCTAATCTAGTCATTTACAACACAACTAATTATTTTTCTTCTTCAATCTTATATAAATTCGTATATATATATATATTACACATAAAAACATATTGTATAAACAATTAATTGTGTTATAAAATTTTTTTGTTGGCATTCAAAATGACAGATTTAGTTGACACTCTTCTTAATGCTGATGAGGCAATTAATGCAGAAGAATATAAACAAGCAATAAAAGTAAGTGAATAAAAATCTTGAATGAAAAAAGTCAAATATATTGATATTTTTTTACTTTTAACAAAAATAATAAAGGAATATAGTAAAGAAGTATTAAATGATAAAGAAAAAGAATCACACATTAAATTAACTAAAAAACGTATTTATGCTTGTTTTCGTGATGAAAAATATCATGGTAAGCATATATATTCTGTTATTTATTCTTCATATAAAATCAATTTAATATTTTCATAATGTTTTTATTTTAGATGTGTTATTGGATATTGAAAAATTAAAAGAACTCGACGTGATAGTTGAAGATGATCAAAATCTATCTTCTATTGATTTGTAAGTTGATAGATTACTTATTCAAATGATTATTCTACAAAAATTTTGTTTTTTCTAGTGAAAGTCGTTTTCGTACATATTTATTTAAGTGTGTTGAAGAACTTGAACTTCAAGAAAATAAATGTAAGAAAAAAACGTCTTGATTTATAGAGTAGTCTTCAGAGACCATCCATCATAGGTCACATTTTGTTTATTGCTCTATTACCTTTCTTGATCTCTAACAGTTTGATAATTTCAGTTTAATTCATTCACCATACAAAAAAAAAAACATAGAGAAGTATGATGAAAATTGATTAGTTGGGTTTTTTATATTAAAAATCAATTTAAATAAATGACAGTATTTTCATTTGATTAAAGTATAATTTTTCGTCTTAACTTTTAATATAATCTGAATGCATAAAACTTGTTCAAATCTGCCTAATCGATAAAAAGAAACTTAACAATTTTAACTAATTAAAATTTATTAACCAACAATCATAATGAATTAAGCAATTTAAAAAAAAAAAATCTTAGTAATCGAATCAGAGATCCTAATGGGCTGGGCTGGGTCGAAGAAAGTTAATTCATGGGTTATTGACCTTTTGCCCAACTTATCCATGGTTTTTCTTTGAAAAATTGACCCAGCCCAGCTTATGGGTTTTCTTTAAAAAATTGACTCAGCCTATCCATGGATGATCCATCTAGTTAAATTAAAAAAAAATAATTTTATCTTCCAGCTTTTTTGAGAAAGAAGACTGTCTTCGTATGATATACAAAAGAGTATCTCGATATCTTCAACTTCCAAGGGATTACACCAGTGACTATTGATCAGAGATGAACACAGGGCAGGGCAAAAGAAATTATTTTTGCTCTGCTCTTCTGCAGAGTAGGGCAAGGTGAGATCCTTATACCCTATAAATTTGAACATCAAATTTTCATCTTTACAAAAAGCGTTTTTTTGGGTCTTAGAGAGACAAAATATCTAAAACAGATTGCAGAACATGGTGTTAGCTAGCGTTCAGAACATTCCTCTACCAGTTCACATTCATAAGAACATGAAAGTAATAAAAATAAATTAAAAAAAAAACTAAGCTAACATCGAAAAAAAAGTCGTATTTGCATTTTTGATTCCGTGCTTTTACTAGATTGAAGGAAGAAATTAACTCATGAGATCTGTATCATTTGATTCTCAGGATGATATTTTCCTGTCGTCCATTGCTGATCTTAATAGTACATTAAATTCTTCTACATCTCATCTTTCAAATGACTTGGCTTCGACTTCTTCTAAGTCTTGTACTTCTGAACAATTGAAACAATTCTTCTTAATAGAAATCATACAATTCATCTTGTGAACAATAGGTCAACAAAAGTTTTTATATCTTAGTGGCATGCTTTGGATTAATAATTCAGTGGCTAATTTAGAGGGAGTTAGGGACAATTGCCCCTCTTCCAAAAGGTTTTTCTAAATTTTTTGTGGCAGAAAAGGCTTACAAATGGGCCGATACTACCTCCAATGAACTTGAATAACTTACTGCCTTCATCAGTTTTTTAAATGTTACCAGATATTTTCTTACAAATTGGAAATGTTATAAGTTTAAACTCCATTGAGAAATACAGCCAAGGCGGTATATCAACTCTACAGGGTATGTTTTTTTTAATGCCTTTTTCGACAGTTAGGGCAGGACACGGTGCAAAAATGTTGCCCTGTGCCTATCTCTGCTATTGTCCTAAGTCATATTTTCGGAAAGCACAATTAACCGAAATTTTCTAGAATCAAGTTTTAAACTTTTAAAAGCCGATAAAGCTTATGGAACTAATATAATTTACTGAAGTAAAATGTTTTAGCAGCTGATAGAATCCTTCTCTTGTGCTAATTCTTTTCAAAAACTAAACCGTCATCGAATTCAACTTATGATTTTAGTAAAGGATTTTTTTTATCGTCGAAGACGAACACACTTGTGATGATCGATCAAAAAGGAGCTCTTTCAACGTAAAAGTCACCAAAATATAGCGCTACTAAAGATAAGAGTTTCTTCTGATTCACTATGATTATATAATTGTTAATGTACGTGAAGCGAAAAAATTCGATTTTACTTTATAACTTGTTTCAGACAGACTTCATTTAACTTAGTATCTTTAAAAAAACTTATCCAACTCTACTCCATCTTCGTTTTTCAAACATTTAACTCGTAAAAGTAAGACAATTTTCAGTTATTGGGGAAAAGGAATCGTATCTTCGACGCTTCTCAGTCGACTCAACCCTAGAGCATGATGACGAATAGGTAGCAGTAGTGAAAGGACAGGTGCTAATAGAAATTGATAATTGAAAAAGATCAGTAAGAATAGAAGTAGGTTTCAAAAAGATAATTGATGGTCATGCAATTGTTGATGAAAGTAAAGAACGATGCAATGATATAGTTTTTTTTGAATAAAAACGAAGTATTATAACGCGAAATAAAAGAACTAAACGAGATATTTCGAAAGGAAAAATATCACAGTGATAATACGCGGTGTTTCCTGAGAAATTTTGTTTTTAATCCAAGTCAAAGTTCGGCCCATGAGCTATAATTAACCCATGGATCAAAGCTCGTAGTCCATGAATACCCATAAAAGAAAATCGGATCGGTCAAGCCTAGCTATCGTTGTCTTGTCAAAACAATCCGACCTATGGATGAACTGAGTTTGGGCCAGTCCATTAGGATCTTTGAATCGTATAATATCAAACCTTAAAAAAGATTGAAAATAAGATTTTAATTAAATGAAAACAGTGCCATTTATATCGATTTTAAATTTTAAAAAAAAGATTTTTATCATATTTCTTCACGTTTTTCTTTTACATGATTCGACTCTGTGTGGATCTAGTAATTCTTAGTCAATTTGAGTTAGAGATCTTTAACTTTTTACCAAAATAGAAATAAATATATTATGTAATACATTAGTCGAAAGCATATTTGAGCAGCGAATGCCAATCATAGTTCTTCAAATTAATTCCAGAAAGCGATTGTTTTGAACGAACACATACTTTCGATAATTAAATCAATTGATTAAAGAATTATCATAGTAATAAAAATAAAATAAACTATTCTTTGTAAATTATAGAACTTTTCATTCTGTATCTTGTAGTATATTTTCTTTTTTGAAATAAACATATTAGATGATAAAAATAACAACAAAAAAAAGATATAAAAAAAATCGGTCATTTCATTATGGAACATTCGTTAGTTCTATTATTATCTTAATCGTCATGAATTTAATGGTAGTTTTTTTTCTTTTATCTTTAGTTAGGTCAAAGTGGCATCAAACAATATTATCGAAATTTTCATCCTTTGATTGCGATCTTCTTTTTGAGTAAATTTTTATAATTTGGAATTTCATTTTGGATGTCTTTTTTTTGTTTTATTCTAGAATTGAACCAAAAAAGAAAAGAACAAAAACATTCTATGTAGTTCAAAAAAAAAAAGTTAAAAATTAATTTAAACTTTTCTTTTTTTCAAAAAAGTTCGGTCAGTTATTTTTATAAAAAAGCTTAAATCATATTTTAAAATAACTTTGCTTTAATATTTTTAGTTTGTTTGATTTCATTCAATTTCTCATTGTTATTACTTCATCATCCACTACTACTACTATTATTATTGAGTATTATATTTTCAACATCATGTATTATTGTATGCTAATGTATATGTATTTTATGTGCCACAAAGTCTTTCAACTAAAAAATATAAAATATTTCTATTATCGATAATAAATCAAGAGAAAAATAAAGAAAAAGATTATATTTAATTAGCATATTATAATGGAGACCAATTTAATTTATAATCATTTTTTCCTGTCAATAGATTCATATTTCTTGTCTGTCGATTTATCATACTTTGTTTTCTCGAAAAAAAAAACCAAATGAGATAATTTACTATCAAATTACATTTATAATATCATTTTTTTTCTTTTTACTATATGTAACATTGAATGAAACAAATATATTTTTTTTTGTACTTTTCTCATTGTTAAAAAAAAGAATCTTTTTTTTTTTCAAAACAAAATGTATATATTTAACATATGAATGATTTTATTATTTTATGATGAAAATCGATCGAAGTTTTTATTTGATAATGATAAGAACTTGTATTTTTTAATATTCTCATTTAATGAACGATTATCATTAACATTGATCAATGTTTTTTTCTACAGAAGAATTTTAATTAAATACAATAGACTAATTAAAATTATTTTCAACTAGATTGAGGAAAAACTAATTAAAATTTTTAATTAACTAAAACTTAAACAAATTTATAAAGTACGAACAAATTTTTTGAACATATTCAGATGTTGAGTTCGAATCGATTAATGTTTGAATAAAAAATTTAAATTGTAGAAAATTAACATATATTTAATAGATGATGAATGCTCTTTATTTCAATAAAATTTCTCTAAATTGCATTATATTTTTGAATTGAATAATCAATAAATAATAATTAAGTTAATATTTACTTTATAAAATAAAATACCTGAAGTTAAAACTCTTTTTAATGAAAACTAATCCTACGATATGTATTTTTGACATATCTTCATTGATGGTGATCGATATCAAGTGAATTTCATCATGTTAGACATTTGTATATAGAAACCACTAACAACAATAAAGAAGGATCTTCTATTCTTTCGTTCAATTACACTTTGCTTTTGTCTGTAAGAAAATATTTTGAGAAATGAAAATTTTTACTATATGTTTGTGAACTTGCTAATGAAATCGACAACAATGTTGCACATTTATTCATCTCACTCAATAGTTTTACTATAATAAAGTACTTATTTAAATTTCATATAATAATACGTAATATACAAATTTAATTGTATTCAATATTTAAATGAGAGTAAAAAAACAATGAACATTAAATAATAACTTGATCTTTATTTTATAGTTGCCGATTAAAGTAATCGAAATAATTATATTATTTTGTTGAGAATTATTATCAAAATTCATCGATACTTCAAAAACTAAATTTCACCCTTTATCCTCCGCCAACTTCCTCTTTCCTCCTTCCCAATAGATACTACAGTGACCATTTGTAGATTAACTGCAAAAAATTAAGAAAATATGGAATTCAAAAATTTTTTAAATAGTTTTTGTAGACTTCATGAACTATCGATTAGTAAATAGGGCATTTCG